AGGATTACAAAAACAAAACAAAAGAAGAAAAAAAGGAGGATAAAACAAAAAGAAGAGGGGATGGGAAAGAGAAGATAAAAGAAAAAAGAGGGAGAGGATTACAAAACAAAAGAAGAGGAGGATGTGGAAGAGAAGATAAAAGAAAAAAGAGGAAGAGGATTACATATAGAAAACAGAAAACGAAAAGAAATAATAACAGAAATAAGTGAGGAAAGAAAATATCAATAGAAAGTGAAAACCAGAAAGAAAGAGAAGGGAAACGTGTGGAAAGCAAGTGGTAGCAATGGGAAGAGGAAGATAAAAAAACATTACGGGACGAGGAAGAGACAAAGAGAGAGAGAGAGAGAGAGAGTCAAAGAAAAAGATTGACAAATTAAAGTGAATATCTGGGACATTTTGTAAGAGAGAAAACACTGAGTTTCGTCCTTCTCGAGGTCACAAAAAGGTAAGAAGGGCTTGAGTTAATGCTAACCATTAAAATACGACAGAAAAGAAATGAGTACAATTATACAATCGGTTTTCCCGCATACGTACCTCCAGAACCGTATATGACAATCTATTTTTCCAGACCAAGAATCTCACTTAATAATCCAGATGTATATTTAAAGTATAGACACTTAAATTAAACAAATGTTAATGATGTCTTCAATGGTTAAACGAAAGAGTAGCAAGTAATTTAAGGAACTGCTCTTATTTTACCCAGATTAAAAGTTATGTTATAACCGGAAGATTGGTGCTATATAATGACAGGGTTTGGTATATTGGTCTTTTTCACAAGTTGAAAAGTTATGGTATTTCTAGGCAAACTTTTTAACTGATTCAGTCTTTCTTAACAAATCATGAAATGAAAGTTGTTTTCAATGGCCATTCTTCTAGAGCTTTTTTTGCATTAATGCAGGTGTCCCTTCAGGCCTCTTATCACTGAACCTACGTTCTCAACTCGGTATCCATGCTCATAACACAACTATTTAGTCCTGTTTTAAAAGTAAGTTTAATCGGTTCGATAAGGTCAAATTGGCAGCTAATCTAAAAAATCACCTACAATCTGTTAACTGAGAAAAAGAATGGCTTGTTAATTTTAATGCATCCAAATCGAAAGTGCTTTTTTTCATCGTCTGAGTGAATCCTTTTTGACTTACATCATTATGGCTGATGCTAACCTTCAAAAGAGTGACACACTGAATCGTGGAAAGATTATATTGAAGCAACTGCTAGGACTGTTGTTAGGAAAGTTAGATCAATATACCGTGCTAGATTATTTTTCTCGCCCAAATTTATCTAAAATATTTATAAGTTTATTATTATTATTCGAATTTTGCTGTCATATTTGGTCTGTTGCTTCTGTTATATATTTAGATATTTTTAATAAAATCCAAATAAGAATCTGCAATATTATTAGTCCTGAGCCGTCATCTCGGTTTCAGTCACTTCCACCCCCGCCATATCATAGCTTTCCTGTGGCTTGTTTATAAATACTTTCATGCTAATTTTTCTGATGAACTTCCTCTATGGTACATAAACTTTATGAATTTAAGCGCAGTACTTGATTGGCGACAAGGTCTCATCATTTTACAGTTGAAATTGCTAAATGTAGCCTAACAGTTTCACTTCTCGCTTGTGAAAGTCTCTTCTGATTTCTTGCTTTCCAGTCATTTTGGATTTTCAAAAATTTAAATGAAATGTCTCTCGTTATCTTCTGTCCTCTTAATTCCTGCTATTTTATTGTTCTCTTTCATTAATAGTGTTTTTTTTTTTCTTTCTCGTATTCTCTAAAACTCAGGAACCCTTGGGTCTTAGTGGCTTTATTGCCTTCGTGGAAGGAAATAATTTTTTTAAAACAACTAATTTGTTTACGGAATTTTTTTTTTTCATTACGAATATCCCACCATGCCATTGATATATGTGTGACGTAATAGTTATAGAGATAGTGTAGCTATAAAAATGTATTTTCTTTTTCATCCATAGGACACGGACAAGATTCAACCCCATTTGACTGGGAAATGATTGTTGTGTTGTATTCTGTTAGAGTTTGCATTTAGTGAAACTGGAACCTGTCTTGCTTGGTGTGACATACTGTTGTAAAGTTTAAAGAGACCAGGATCTAGTTTTGGAGCAAATATCTTAATAACTATTACAGGGATACCATCTAGTCCACATGCATCGTGAGGATCTAATTTAGAGATAATAGGAGAAACTATGGATAGAGTTTTACGCTTATCACTCAACAGAGACTCAGTTTAAAGTGGAAAGTCAGGCAAAGGTACTCCAAATGAGTGAATTTGAAGAAAATTTACAATCAAAAGATTCTGCTTTATCAGCAGATGTTAACACCTCAAATTGAGTGAAGAGATGAGGAACAGAAGATTTACTCTTATTTTAACATACTATTAAAGAACCACCAGTAGTCACAAGAACCAAAATTATTAGAGGCTATAATGTGTTTCATTCTATTAGCAAATAAGGACTTGTCCTCCTTGAGGACACATTTATATTTATTGTAAGCAGACACAAATAGGCATCAGTTGTGATTGAAACTATCACACTGGTACAGCTGGAAATAAAACTGATTCTTGTGGGCTATAGTGGCTGATAAAGTTTATGGTTTCACTTGCTATTTACAAGAAGGTACAAAAACATGCTTGCTTTTAACCTAAGAAGAAAGCTCTGTGGTACAATTCTTAATCGGAAGCCACCAATAGTCAAAAGAATCAAAATTGTTAGAAGCTATAATGTGCCTCGTTCTATTAGCAAACAAAGATAATTTCTTAATGACTATTACAGAGATACCATCAAATCCACATGCATGGTGAGGTTCCAAATTAGAGATGATAGTAGGCACTATGGATGAAGTTATATGCCTATCCCTCAATGTGGAAAGTCGGGCAAAGTTACTCTGGGTGAGTCAAGAGTAGAATTTGAATAAAATTTACGAGCAGAAGATATTAACACCTGAAGTTGAGGGAAAAAAGGGACAAATAGAAGACTTTCTCTTATTTAAGGCACTATTACGGAGCCGCCATTAGTCACGTGAACCAATCAATAAACAAAGACTTTGAGTACACTTTTACCATTATTATAAGCAGACATATATAAGCGTTTGATGTAATCGAAACTGCCGCGCTGGTGAAACTGGGGAAAGTGATTCTTGTGAGTTATAGCAGGTGAACAGGCTGATGCGGACCTAGAAAATGATCATGGTTTCATCTGGTATTTCTGAGAAGATACAAAACTTTTCAAGGAAAAATATTCTACACTACAGAAATTGAAACGAATATTACGAATATTGAATAAAAAAGTTTGAGGTGGGCAGTATTTCTTTTCATTCTGTCATATAAATGTTTTGTTTTAAAAAGAAAAGGTCAAAATAATTATCACCATCTATCGTTTATGGCAATACAAACTGGCCAGCAAGTGACTAAAGCATAATGTAGTCTCAGGTTTGCCCACCGCAGATACATGTAGGAAAACTTATCCATGCGTTATCTGACACTACAAATACCCCAATATTATGCGACTGTTGATCAGAGCAGCAGCTCTAAGCAATACCAAAGAGTTCAGGCTCTTTACTATCAGTCGAAAGCAGCAACCAGAAAATTGCCGACCCTGTACGTTATAATGAAAAGTCGTAGCCACTGATCAGTCAGATCACCAAAATATAAAGACAGTTAAATCACTTTGTCCATGGAATAAAAAAACCGGTAAACCATATCCTAAACAAAAAACAAGGGATAAACCTCTACTCCTGTTCATGAAATGGGTAGTGGTCTGGCGATAACCGAACATATTTACTCCTATTAAACTGTCCACAAAAAAGGTGGCTGGACGCTTTTATCGTGACAGCATCTTTAAGACGGTTGCCGAATATGGCTCCAGGCCAAGGGGTAATTATAGCTGATGCTATAATTCAGAAAAGTGACTCATTACGCCTTATCGGACTTACGTTCTCTGCTGATGTGAAGTGAATACTATAAGGGAACCATTGCTATGTCAGCCGCTAAGAAAGTCGGTTCACTATGTTGGATTAGACAACTTTTCTCTCCAGAATCTATCTTACATATCTATGTCTGCCATTTGTCGATGCTCAGGATATTGTTGCCGCATATGATCCACTGCGTAAGGTACTTACATGGAGCTCCTTGATAAGATCCAAAGAAGAATCTGCAATATTATTGGTTCTGATCTGGCGGCTTAGTTCCAGTCACTTTCCTATCGCCGCAAGGTTGCCTTTCTATGTCTTTTCTATATATAATTTCATGGTAATTGTTCAAATGAGCTCTTTGATATGGTACCTAGAGTTTTTGAATTTAAGCGCATCACCAAACTGGCGTCGAGAACTCATCAATTTACAGTTGAGCTGGTTAGATGTAACCGCAAATTCTATACTAACATTTTCTTATCTCGCACTTCTCGCTTGTGGAACTCCCTTCCGGCTCCATGCTTTTCAGCCAACTTTAATCTGTAAAAATGTAAATGCAATGTCAATCTCTATCTTTTTTCCACCTAATTAGTCATTTCTCTTTCTACACATCATTAATGTTTCTGTTCCTAATTCTTCTTCCTATAATCCATTGTGTTTTAGTGACATTATTTCCTTGCTTGGGGTGATTCTGATTAAAAAATAGAAGTGGATAATATAAAAATTCTACATGAAGTAACAAGAATAGGAGTGTAGATGTTCTAAGCGGCTTTCGAACAACACTAGATACATTTTAACACATCGCAAAAGAATTCATGGCTAGTGTGTGTTATGTAAATGTAGTCAACCCAGTACACTGTAATCATTTATATGGCAAATAAAAGCGATATGTATATCGCAAGTAATTAGGTAGGAAACAGCACATTTCGCAATATTAGAACTATCTCAAAATCTAAATTGATAAGTAAACACAGTCCTATGTAGACATAAGAATGAAAACAAAAACAACGAAAATAAAATGAAAAAAAGAACTTAGGCGAACGCTGATTGGTACATTCTACAACGGGTGGTGGATGTGCGAAAGATGATCGCGCAAAATTGGAACAACAAAGAGGTGATGTTTTGGGATAAATATTGCAAGGCCTGACATTTCCCGCCATCTCCACGCTTATGATCTTTTACCCTACCGTTCCTTCACTCTGTGCAGCCAGCGTGTGAAGCAGCCCCACCCTCACAATGTAAACAATGACGTAAATTTCCTCTTGAAACTTTCTCGCTTTTCCGTACTCCCGTTCTCTTTCTTTTCTTTTTTCTTTTTCCTTTCTCTTGTTATTCCTTTCTTTAATATTGCTTTCTTTGCCTATTTTGCTTTCTTCTTCTTCTTTATGTTCCGTATCCTCCCAGGACGTAGGCGATCATGGCTCTCCACAATTTCCTGTTCTTTGTAGCTATTAATAAATGTAGTTTTCATATAACTCCTAAACCCTGTTGCATCATACGTTTACTCAAGATCACTAAGTATGTTAAGCGTTGTTTTCCTCTGTCCCTCTTGCTTTCAAACCGTCTTGTGACTATTAGTTTTTCCAAGCCTCTTTCCTCCTTATATGCCCTAGGATTTTCAACTGTCTTATCCTGATGTTAAGTATAAGTGTCCTTTTTGTTTCCATCTTCTCTAAAATTTCGTTGTTTCTCACATGTCCGACCCATGGTATCCTCAGTATCTTTCTGTAGAGCCAAATATCTATTGTTTCAAGTCTCTTCATCTTTTCTCTCATATACACCCTTGTGCAAATTAACTGAAACAACCGCTTTAGTTTCCTTACTTTCACCATACGGTCAATTTTACACACATTGTAGTGACAGAGTACAATCGATTTCTATTTTTCCTCAGATTAGGTCATTTGCAGTGGTGCGCAATAATATGAATACATTTTCGAGGTGTATGATGAAATTTGTTTGGCCTTGAAAAATATTGCGTCATCCGTGATTGCATCAGATTTTCACCATATTGTCTCGACTGTCGATTAGTTGTCCTACGGCCATTTTCTGAGATGGACGTTACTCCCAGGAGGCGTACGAAAATTGTAATGCGTCACGAACATAATTGCAAGCCTTACTAGTAAGCAAATCAAAGTACTATCAACTGGCTCGAAAACTCTCCTGATTTAAATCCAATCGAGAATCTGTCGTCAATATACAACGAAAGATGAACATGCGAAGTACTAACATGGGCACTGGGTCATCTTTCATTGAAAAAATACGAAAAAAAAGTAAATGATAATGGAATCGTTTTGTTTCAATTAATTTGCACAAGGGTCTCGGAGTACAGATATCAAATAACGATTTTCTTTGTTTCTAAGGAAGTTTTTCTGTTTCTTAATACTCTGCTTAGCTTTAGGAATACATCTTTGACTATCCTAATGCGCGTTCAGATTTCAGTGTCGCGTTTTACGTCCTAAAACGCTTCCTAGATATTTAATGTTTTGCTCCTGTTTGATTTTGCTATTTCCAATTTGTATTTTGCATTTTGGTCTCATCCATTTGCTAACAACCACGTATTCTGTTATCATGCAGTTGATTTTCATCCTTTCTTCTCGCTTTTCTTCATTACCTTCTGTGGGAATTTTTGTAGTTTTCTTTCCGTGTCTGCTATCAACACTGTGTCATCTGCATATATTATGTTGTTTAGATTGTGGCCACCAATAATGAACTTTAATAGAAGTCATTTTCTATCCGTATGCAGGCGATTTTCAGATAATATAGGTTATTGATTATTCTAATATCGTTCCAAAATAGGTCATGATGGTTGATCATTTCCAACAGATCTTAGTGGCGAACTTCATCGAACACCTTTGTATTATCTACAAAACACAGGGCGTCCTGAGTAAGACGATAAACTACGTCCAACAGCAAAGCCTCTGATCAGGAAGTTTTGAGAAGCGTGGAACCACCTCTTAATTGCTGGTGTTCTCAGGTCCACCCTGACCCGTTGGGGTACCACCTGTTAGGGTCCCAGCTATGGGCAAATAGTTAACCTCCAAACCGGGGTCAAAACACTATGAAAGTGAAACTCTCCTGATTTAAATCCAATCGAGAATCTGTCGTCAATATACAAGGAAAGATGGACATGCGAAGTACTAAAATGGGCACTGGGTCATCTTTCATTGAAAAAATACGAAAAAAAAGTAAATAATAATGGAATGGTGTAATCTACAAAACACAGGGCATCCTGGGTAAGACGATAAGCTACGTACCACCTGTTAGGGTTCCAGTTATGGGCAAATAGTTAACCCCCAAACTGGGGTCAAAATACTATGAAAGTGAAAAAAAAAAGGTTTTAATATCAGAAATACGTAAAAATTATTACCAGCGATACATTTAAAAAAATATATATTACCATCAATATATTTTTGGAAAAAATATATTACCAGCAATAATAATTTTGTCGGCCTTAAATAACTCATTGAGGTTGATATGCCGTAAAAGAAACCAAATTAAACCAAATCAAAACACAGGTACACGTCCTTGTATTGCTCTTCTGATAACATTCTAAGTATGAATATCGCGTTCCTTGTTCTAGTTTTATTCTTTTTCTCTATATTTTTCTATTTTCATTTTTTTAGTCTTTACTTTTCATTTATTATTCGTTTTCGTTTTTTACTTTTACTTTTTTTTTCTTTGCTTATTGCTTTTCATTTATTCTTTCTTTTCCGTTCTTGTCTTTCTTTATCTTTCTTATTTAGTTCAAATTTTTTTTTCTTTTATATTTGATTAGTAATTCTTCCTTATGTTTACATTTTTATACATGCTCTTTTCTTTAGTTCTACCTCCCTTTGCTTATATTTGTTGTTTCTTTCTTTTTTTCTTTTTCATCTTCTTATTTTTTCATTCTTTCTTTAGTAAAACCCCTTCTTCTTCTCTTTATCATGCCACCGTTCTCTCTCGCTCTCTTACTCCTTCCAAACAAGTTTCCTAACACACATTACTAAGGAAAGTGAACCTCTCTGTGTATTTCTTTGTCTCTACTAAAATGCCCTCAACTCGACAAAAGCCATGAAACCGACATACCATTACGCATATTTAGGCCGCATTTCAACACAGGTTTCCCAAGTTTCTTTAACGTTTCGAAAATATTTCGGACGATTGGTCATTGAAATACATTATCTGCTGTTGCCACATGCGGATCATTCGAAAGTTTCCTTTCATTCAAGCTCTTTTTTCATGTTTTGTGAATATGAAATAATCAAATAAAATTATTATTCCAGCCCTGTAAACAAGTGCATTGTTCTGCACGAAGTGAACATCTTTACAAGCCTTTCCTAATCTGCAGAAAATAATTTTTGAGTTTGTGCTAGAGAATTTTAAAGGTAGGGTGCGGCATTTAAGCTAAGAATTTACGTGCTATAACCCAGCGAATTGGGACGATAGTAGAAAGAACTCGGTAGGAATTTCTGCAGCTTTGTGGGGTTTGACACAGAAGTATATATGTATTCGAAAAGCTAAGGACTACTTAATAATATTAATGAGAAACTAATGATTACTTAACACAAACACACTCATCCAAACAAACACACACATATGTGTGTGTCTGTGTGTGTGTGTCACAGTGTCCATGCAAATGTCTTGTAGTTTTTGTGGTCAACATACACAGAATCGAATTCCAAATTCTAAAATTGCACATGTATGTTATGTAAACTAGAAAAATTCTAATAACTTTTATTTTCGTAAATATTTTCTCTCAGTTTTCTTGACATAGGTTTGATGATGTAACAACAGCTGAATAGAATATGCAGTTAAATAAGTTCAGTTAATTTCTGTTTCTTGCTCGTTATACAGAATAAATTTCAGGCCAACTTAGAAAAAAACAACTTGTGTGTTAAAAGGGTGGTTTTTCCTTTGACATGTCTATTATTTTAAATACCGTCACTCCTCAGCAATGTTTATTGCTTTAAAAAGCGATGATTAGAAATGTAATACAACCTAAACATATGAAAATGAATTTATACATTTTCTTTGTTCTTGAGAATTAACAACAAAAATAATAAACATTTATAGATTGTTTATTTACACTATTTATTTATTATAATGCTTATTGAAATGCTTCGCAAAACATATGCTGATTGCCAGTCGATTCGAACTTTATAAAGTCGTAAATAATAAGTATTCCCTTATAGTTGGTTCGCATATTTTAATAATTTAGTAAATGTTTATAAATTTATGAATAAAAAATTGTTTTCATATTTTCTTTATAAAACTGTAAATGATAAATATTGCATAGTATAAGTTTAATTGTATTAGATTTTAGAATGTTGTAAATATACAATTATTCTTGTAAATAAATAATGTAATAAATAAATAATATTTAATATTTTTGCTGTGAGTTCTCAAGAACAAAGGAAATGTATAAATTCACTTTCATCCAATGTTTATATTTTCATACAATTCTAATTATCGTTTATTTTAAACAAACACTGTCGAGGAGTGAAGGTAATTAAAACAATAGCGGTGTCAATGGAAAAACCGTCCTTTTTATCACACCGTTTTTTACGGTTCAAGATTGTATGTTGTATGAAATTATGCAAAGTGAAGGTTTTGTGAAACATTATTTTTAAAGGCAATGAAGAAATTTAGTCAAAGTTGAATGAAATGTTGTGATAAAGAATTGAGGATGAATGACACTATGGAATCAGTCCATGTAGTTTATCGATCGGGTTATCGAATTGTTATTCTCCAGGCTGAAAATCGATGTAAAAGATTTGTCTAATAATGTAAAATAGACAACAAAAATAATAATAAACAGAAAGTTCTCCATTTCCTAGAAATAAAAAAAAATTCTCTCTAGCATTCTACAGTAGGAGAAGAGTTAAGATCACGATGAAAACACCGGCTCTCCTTTGATCTCCGGAGTTAAGCAGTGTCGACACCGTTTAGTACATAGAAGGGTGACCGCTTGGGAAAAACCTTTATTGCAAACAACTTCCTACACTCCGAAATATCACTCGACTTTAAATAACCCACAAAGGTTTGATAAGCGAAAAAAAAAATCAATCAATCAACACTGAAGAGAGAATGACTGGGAATTTGTATAAACCGCACTTCTACAACCAATATCCAAATTAAATGCTCTTATATTCAATATTATACGTTAAGAAAACACATACACACATAATATATATTTTATGAGCAATATTTTACTTTTATTTCATTTTTATTGAAAACCACAAAATCTAGATTTTCTTGGTTTCTTACAATTAACGGACGTTTCTTTCGATCGTATATAAAATTGTCTAGATACATATACAAACTTTGATGCATGACAAAAAATATACTATACTTTTTTTAATTTTAAAACACTAACATAATTCCTTTTCTTGAAAATAAACAATGTTGGTTGAAAGGCATCCAAAATATACGGGGGGATAATTTTCATATAAACTGGGAAAATATTTGTTACTTTGTACGAAAGCAAGAAAGACAGGGAAAAATAAATAAAAAAAAGACTTGAGGTTTTAAATAAATCCTACTTTTAAGGACAGTTCCTTTAACGTAAGGGAACCCAGACTGAAATCCCACCGGAGAGTGAATATTTATTTTAATAAGATTTATCGGATATTCAAGCCGGTGGATGAAAATAAATATACGGCTTCATTAAACGGAGCGCCTACACGAATATGAGTATCCAGTAAAAATAACGTTTAAAGTGATAAAATCTGTCGGATTAATATATAAAAAGCAACAATTTCTTATGTATGTATGTGTGTGTGTGTGTGTGTGTGTGTGTGTGTGTATGCGTGTGTGTGTGTGTGTGTGTATGTGGCATGCGTCGAGAGTCCATGAATCTGCGCTCAGTTATGCTTCAGCTGCTGATGCCGGCTCAACATATGCACCGGCCCACACGGAAATAACAATCTCGATTGCAACGAATGCATGCGTGTTGTTTTTTTGTTTTTTTTCGTTGAGCATGCTTCTACCCGGCCGCAAACCTCCTTTTCTGCTCTCCTCGCTCCACCCCTCGGTGTAAATCACGTCTACGTCTGTGACTGACTGTTAGCAACATTTTCACACTTCTCAATGTCCATGTCCATGTCTTTTGTAGATTCCCTTGATATTAAGATTCCGAAGATATTTCTGTATGTTGAAAATGGCCACCTGCACGAAGGAGACCTCCCTCCCCCTCTCTCTCTCTCTCTCTTTCATACATATATACATATATATATATATATATATATATATATATATATATATATATATATATATATATATATATATATATATATATTTAGGTAACGATAATCTTGGTAATCCGTATGAATAATTCCAAGGAGGATGAAATCCTGAGAGCCCGTAAAAAAGTGTAAATTTTAAATTCATTTTCGTTTCACATTTGAAAGTGAAGTCTGAAGAGAAAATAAAATTTCTGCTGAAATAAACTATAACTAATGGAACCTTAAACTGGCCTGTTTTCTTTAAATTAAATTAAATCATATATATATATATATATATATATATATATATATATATATATATATATATATATATATATATATACGGGTTTAATTTAAAACAGTCTATTTGATATTTCGGATCATTTCCGTGGTTTTATATAAATACAAATTGCCCGATGTTTGCGTACTTTTGCTAGTTTCTTTATTTTTCATATGTTTTACGTTAGCTTTTTAAAAGTATCGTGTCTACACATGACAGTTAGTCTTATCGTATTATTTGTATTGCTTATTTATTAAATATGTATTATTATCGTATTATTTGTATTGCTTATTTATTAAATATGTTTAGTACATTTGTTCCAAAATTTGGTAACATCTCATTGATTTCAAGTTTTAGTCTATGTTTAATATTTGCCGTTTTTGACATTTTATGTGTTAAATTGGTTTGTATTATTAGTAAGCATTTGTCGGATTCCTTGTGATGCTGTGTTGGTTGGTGCTTGTGTCGATTGTTTATAATAATTGGTGTTGTCTTACTGGCACACACACACATATATATATATATATACATATATATATATATAAAAGGAAAGATGAGTGAGATAGGGAGAATGAGAGAGAATGAACAGCATTGAGTAAAACAAGAAAACTAAGGAGAATTGCAGTCTCCTTATTTCCAGTAAAATCCACCAAAGAAAATTGAAAAAAGAAAATGAAACTTGTCAATAGACGGAATTCTGATAAAAGTTCTGAATCTATCCACTACCCTCATCCTTTCTTCTATCACTCCTATCTGATCTTGCTATTTCCTGTAACTCCTTGCATCCTAGTGGCTTCCCGCCTTGCTTGGGGTGAAATGCTTAAAAAAAAAATAATGAGGTAACTTGCGTTTGCTTGATCTTCCTCGAGAACCCTCAGATATAACTGGCATGACACTTTAATGATCGGAATATTGAAAAGAGTGCCGGAGTATTGCATAAACTTGCTGTCACTTGTTCCCCAAAGAGAACTACAAGAGGCTAATACTGTAAAAGCGCAATGACCAAAATACAGAGAAGAGTAAGAATATAGTCACTTAATCTCCAACGAGAGTGCGAAGGAACTGAGCATGCGGAGACTTAATGCCAAGAATATTGAGGAGAGTTCTGGTGTATGTGCATGAAGACTGAAAATGTCTGCTCCCAATAAAATTCTTAATGTTTATTGTAACCATTGTTTTTACGGCATTTTTATCGTCTTCCTTATCACTCGTTCCAATTTTGTCTTACGTTCTTACCTTCTTCTTCTTACGCAAGACTTAAAACTCATTAATTCCATAACTAAGATAACACTCCTAAACTCAAAGCAGGATGTAATTCATTTATCTGGCAGGTGGCCTGTTCTTTGAAGGAATTCATGGAAAGCCATTTCAAAGTGACGCTCTCTTAAACACAGAGATGCTCTTAAAACTGTGAGAAAAGAGCTTAGTGTTGGTGGTGTTCATGTTATGCATAATTGCAAAAACTTTGGACTTTACTAAAGGTCGGATTCCATCGTTTTTTCTTCTGTTTCTGATAGCTAAAGAAAATACTTCTTTGTAGAAAGGATTGTGTGAAGTTGAGGTTAATTGCTCTTTCTACCTTTCGTTTATTAGATCACAAAACTGTTGCAGCGATCTTTTGTTTGTGATGGGCGTGTGAATAGAAGGTGTGCGCAAAATTGTTATAAAGTATTCAAAAACAAGAAGAGAAGGAACAGTCGTCCCCCTTTCAGGTACCGACGGTCAAAACCAGAACCTAAACAATTCATAAGCATTACAAAATAATAATTGCAACGCTCAGGAGTCATTGTCTTTTGCAGACAAGAAAATCTTCACCAAATTTTAATCATTTTAACCCAAGCAAGGCAATAAATCCACTAAGACGCATGGTGTTACTGAGTATTAGAGAATATCAGAAAAACACAATTAAGGAGACAGAAGGACAACAGAACAAGAATTAAGAAGACATTGCATTTAAATTTTTGAAGCTCAAAGTTTACTGGGATCAAGAAGCCGAAAGAGAGTCCACAAGCGAGAAGTGTGATAGAATAAACTGTTAGCATAGGACTTACGTCTACATCTAGTAATTTCAACTGTAAAATGATGGGACCTTTCCGCCAATCTAGTCCTCATCCTTAGTCATGGGTGCCAGGATTCGAGTGGTGATTGTGGGTAGCATCCTTCTCAAAATTGTGTCTCCCATGGCATTAGGCCCGAGAAGGGCTTTCATATGCCGAAGCAACTGAGAAGCTATCTGAATTGTTGGATAGGTATCTCAACATGCTTCTCTTTGATTTCCCCATTCTTTTAATGATTCTTTCCTTAGGGAGTCGTACGATTGCTCTGCTGGCATTATTTCGAGTAGGTCTGACACTTCCCTAGCAACTTCGGTGGGAAACTTTTCAACGACGTAACAATACCATAGTCATCGAGATGTTATTTTTGCGTTAAATATAACCTGTAGCTGCATAAAGCAGATGTTGATGCCAGCCGAGTTGAAAGCTGGGAGCTTCAGTGTTATTGGTGTTTCCATAGATTGTGCGTTTACATTCTGTTCCATGCTGTGATATTAGAAAAAAAAATGCTTATTTTAAAACCCGGCTGACTCTGTTGGGGCGTTGAACGTTGCGATCTACAACTTTGTTGCAGTGAGTGGTGATGGGAGAGAAGATCGTACGACTTTACTCACACGAGCTTGCTACCGCATGTTTCCGATCGATGCACCAATTTTGTTTCCATTTTTTGTGCGTGTTTATTTTCCACGTCGGGGATCACCACTTTTGTTTCGTACTTGCTCGAAATTTGGCATCGTAGAACAAATCTCACAACATTAAAATAAAAAAATAAAAAAGACATAGGTGAAAATGATATGATTTTATATACCAACAACAGTACAATAAGTTGGTTGAAAGAGTTAGTTAAATAGAATTTTTTGTTTGTTAATAGTGTTCATATAAATTGTGGGAACTGAATCGTGTAGTTATGTAATAATATTGATTAATTTGTACATATGGGTACTATTTAAGATTTTCATTGAGAGAATGAGGTATTATGGTGGATGTAGTAAGAAAGGTTAGTAAGAATGTGGTGTTTTGGTGTTAGGAATATTGTTCGTATGCTTGTGTCAGTGCTTGCGGCTAGCTAAGTTTTAAATTAAGAAAGATGAAGACCGTCCTTTTCCCCATCCCCTTGTTTTAGGCCCTGCGCCACATTTTCTGTATTTTCACAGAAATAAATATTGTAATAATATTGGTGTGTTTGTGTGAAATATTAATATAGAATAATAGATAAATAAAATTATTATTTATTACGGTGTTCTGTCGCCGCAAGCTTCTACGCATAAGTGCAAGTGTGGGTGTGTTTGGTGGTCAGACATGACCATGGTGGAAATATCTATGACTGATCTTCTACCTAAGCCGGCTCACTGCTTTTATTTATAGCTGAGACCAGAATAAAATCGAATTAGCTTTTTGATTTTAACGGGAGGCCGTCTGATTGGATGAAAGAAATATATTTTATTTTTTAATGCTATTCGGAAGCCTGCGTAGATCCTATGTGCGCACAGACGCAATTTCGTCATATGGCTTTTAATCAAGGAAGTCTAGCTCACACAATATGATTTGTAAAGATCAACTATCAATCAAAATGATCCTAGAAAATTGCAGGAAAAAAGGTAGAAATCTTGGGACACTTTGTAAATCATTTGATAGTGTACCAAACTCTTGGATATTTACGGCTTTGGAAATTTACACGCTCCTATGTGATAGCAAATGTCCTTAAATATAGCATGGAACTGTGGAAAATCATATTATACCTAAATAACACCAAAGGCACTATCACTTCCTATCCTTTGAATATCCGACTAGGAATTTTTCAAGGAAATTCCTTGTCAAAACTTCTGTTTTGTCTGTACTTAAATCCCCCTTTCGCTTGAACGAAACAGTATTAACTATAGATACAAAATAAACAGCAAATTATTTAATCACTTTCTACATGGATGGCCTCAAACTTTTTATCAAGAACTACAATGAATTGATATGTCTCCTCAATATCGTAAAATATTTCAATGATGACATAGGTATTCAAGAAAGAGAGGTTTACTGAAACAAAATAGATCTCGATTTTTTTTCACAAAAGTTTAAGTAACTGGTCCAAGAAGAAGCCTATAAATACCAAAGAAACAGCGAAGGAAATAAAATACAGCAAACCCAAATGCTTCTGACTGCTGAATTAAATTCACAAAACAGAATATCAATCATAAACACTTTTGCTGTCCTTTAATTCGATTATAGCTGACATTAAGCGAATGGATGTCAAAATGAGAAAACTTCTCATTTGCCACCGCATGCATATTTTTATTCCTGTTGCACAGGAGCAATGCTTGCCAACTAGAAATTAACAAGCACATATTTTTTAGGAAAAAGGTAGAAATCTCAGTACACCTTGGATAGATTACCGTAAAACCTTTAATAGTGTGCCACACTTTTAGGTCCTTAAGGCTTTGAAAATGGACAAAGACTCTTTAAATATAGCCTGGAACTATGGAAAACTACATTATACATAAATGACACCAAAGGTACTGCTATTTCCAATTGTTTGAATATCCAACGAGGAATATTTCAAAGAGATTCCTTGTCACCCCTTCAGTTCTGTCTTTCCTTAATCCCCCTTTTATACAGCAATAACTATGGATACAAATTAAAAAAGAAAGTGTTTAATCACCTATTCTACATGGATGATCTCAAACATTTTGCCAAAGACGACAATGACTTGAAGGTTATCCTCAATACTGTAAAATGTTTAAGTGACAACATAGATATGGATTTCCGATCAGATAAATGTGCAAAAGTAACATTCAAGAAAGGGAGAATTACAGAAACACACTAAATAGATCAAGATTTTGACACAGAGATTAGGGAAGTGGAACAAGAAGAAGCCTATAAATACTTAAGCGTCAAAGAAGGGGATGAAATACAACATAGAAAAATGAAGGAGAAACTAATACAGGAGAATAATACATTAAGCGAATGGATGTCAAAATGAGAAAACTTCTCATTTGCCACCGCATGCATATTTCTAAGGAGAATTTTGATCGTCTGTATGTGGTTAGATCAGAAGAAGGCAGATAATTAGTTCCACTACACCTGTCTTACAAAACTACAACAATCGACCTTCTGAGATACCAAGTACCTACAGCAGACTCAATGATGATGTGTGTTAAAGAACACGAAAGAAATAAGAATGACTTAGTAATAAAGGAAACCAAAATAGTTACTGTCAAAAAAGGGAATAAATGAAATGTAAACAAATGAATACCTACATTAAGGGCAACTCTCAACACCTTAAGCTACAGATATCTGCTTTCAAAAATATTTGTGTGTTTTGTTGACGCTCTTTATTTCGTAATACTGGAAGTTGAACAAATTATTGATGCTTAATATTACAGAAAGCAACTGGCTCGTTTGAATGACACATTAGAAAATAAAACATTTCTCTTGGCAAAGAAGTCGACATCGCTGCATAAAATCCTATTTCTGTGTTGTAAATGCAACGCAACACATATTTTATACAACAATGCTGAATGGGTTTTCTCTTCGTGGCGTATTCTGTCAAATTTGACAACTTCTGACCAACACTTAAAAATAGACACAAAATTGAAACCGCGATTTGAAAATATTACTGAAATCAGAAAGAATACCCAGGCAAGTGCTGAAGTAAAGATTTGCTGTCACTTTACAATTTGGGAAAATAATTTGTTTTATTGATGTGAACGAAAATGTCAAGAATTCTGAAGGGTATTAAGGAGAGTTAGACTGATTTGATTATCGAAGGAAAGTCACTATATACGACTGAAGTGAACATTTACACACAAATTCGCGCAATACAGACACATATCTTTTTCAATGACAGTTGATATAATATTATTTTGGACACCGAACAGGACCCAGATAGTAATACTTGATCGAAAGTAGCAGGTAAGGAAAAGAAGCAGTTACTATAATTACTGCACGGATATTCTATATAAAAGGCGGTAAATATGCACCCTGTGAATGAAAACTGAGAGGCGATTATGTGTTATTTGTTACCTTTTGGCGTACATTCCGTGCACGTAACTGGGTTGGTGGCATCGAATGAGAGGTTTATGGCCAAAGAACGCTCGGGGCGTCCACTGACAGTGACAGGTTTTTAATTTGGCTCAGAAATATGATAACCTCTGTTGTGGCTCGATCCCAACCGGCAAACGATATATATATAGTTTATTGTATGCTATATATATGAGTAAAATTATTATCAGGGATATTATTATTATCAGTGATATTATTAGGGATAGAGCGTTGTTAGATATAAAAGTGGACACTGAGATCAAACAATAACGTTTATATTTCAAATTATTGTAAAGTATTGAGTAGTAATAATTATGGATCCGAATGCAGTTATATATATGCTAACCGTATTCGAAAAATAAAAACACCTCTATAACACACTAAAAGCATACACATAACGCACACACTCAATTAAAACTGAAAAAATAAAATCATCCTTGATAATGTCTAAAAGTATAGCCGAAAGCTCCGGAACTATAGAATATTTGGACAGTTTCTACACACTCTCTGTCCCAAAAAGAAAGCTCTTGTGCGAACACAAGAAAAATTAAATAAAAAGCTTAACCGTAGTACATTTGTCTGTCGTTTTTAATGAAACATGCATTAATGAAGGATTGCTGCCTAAATACACAATGCATATATATATATATATATATATATATATATATATATATATATTTATTTATTTTATGTTTATACATTATTTTTATGGATACAGTTATTTAAGTAAATACTCTGTTGTTTAATTAAACAGTATAAAATATATTTACCAGCCTGGATGTTCGAGAAATTTCGTAGAAAATATGCGTTCTCGGTCAGGAATCGAACCTGTATCTTATGAGGAACCACCACCAATCCTGGCGTACCATAACCGTTCAGACACAACGAACTTCCCGGTAAGCAAATCTCGAATTAATGCTTTTAAACACACACCTTCACTCGAACATTCAGGCTATTAAATCTAATTAACACTGTAATCCATTTCTTATGATATATATATATATATATATATATATATATATATATATATATATATATATATATATATATATATATATATATGAGGTATATTAAGCTAGCAACCTTTCTTTAATAAAATTTTGATTTATGAAAACAGATAAGAAAAAAAACTTTTAGGTAGTTTTGATGGATTCGATATTTAATTTAATCAATAATTTTGTTCTCTTACCGTCTGTTCACATACGCACCTTCATAAGAGGAGAAATTTTCCTTTGAGGAACGATTAGTCGTCGTTCATTCTACTTTTCCTGTCATCTGTTGTCACCTACGTTGTTGTAAAGTATCTACCTTTTATCGTTCGCCACAACTATTTTAAAAAAACGAACATTTAAGCACTATCCATTAGTGCTTTTTCGCTTAAATTATGTGGAAGTTACAAATCAAAACTGACTAATGCAACTGAAGTGATGCTAGGCATTTTCAACATTTTATTTAAGACAGTTTGACGGCCCGAGTGCAGTAATCTCTACATAAACTGCCTAAATATTTATTTTTTAATTGACGATATTCTTTTTTCCTTTTCTCTCTCACACACTCTCTTTCTTTCACACTTTCCCCCCTCGCTCTCTCTCTCTCTCTCTCTCTCTCTCACGCTCTCTCTCTCAAACACTCTCCCTATGTCTTTTTAGGGCATTGGAAGTCATGATTCTCCACAGTTTCCTATCTCTTGTTGTTCGCAAAAACACATTCTTCTTTATTTCATTTATTTATCTCCACATGAGGACAAATCGGACAGAGTGTATCGTTTATGACCAATCTAGTTCTTTCTGATATTTGTTTCTCCACCCATTTAGACAAACCTTTCTTCTAGGTTATTTATTGCTCTCCACATCTTCTCATACCTTCAATGTTTTTTGTGGGTTTTTTTTTACGAGAAATCAATTTCTGTACACTTTACAGGCCCCAAGAATTTCAATTGCCTCTTTCTGATTGATCGCAATAATTTCATTGAAGTTCAAATGATTTTTTTAAAAACTTTCTTATTTCTCACATGCTCTATTCATAGTATTCTCTACCTTGCTAGAAACGTATCTCATTTTATTCAAGTATTATTCTTTTCATATTTAACATCATTCTTCATCTTTTATTGCCATCTAAAAGAGATATTGGATAGCCGTTTAACAATCTTTTATTCATATTACATATTATTTCCTATTCCTTTCGAAGTTTTGAAGGATACTTCCCGTTGTCTCATATTACAGATGCTCAAAGAAATTGTATTTTGTTACATGTTTAAGTTTGATGTTCCCGATGTATAATCCTTATCTTTGGATGCCCCTTCTGCTAACCACCATCCATTCTATTTTCATAAAGCTCAATGCAGCTTATTTTCTTTCATTTGCAAATAAAAAAATACGCCAACGTTGATAATTAAAAAATACCCACTGATTTTTAATTTGCATAAAACTAAATGCTACTAATGTTATATATAAACAAACATATAACGAAATCTCTCTATATTTCTGAGATGAGGTATTATGTACACTATTTACATTATTCGGACTATTGTCCTCATCTTTGTCGCCATATTTATTAAAACGTTTCAGCCGTTGTACGCTCCGGCCTTCTTCAGTTGGTTGGAATGTCGAACTGAACCCTTTATTTCACTCACTGGGGTAGACTGTTCTAGTTCCACGTGCCATGTTTAATGGATGTCAGTTATCAGTTATCTCCTGTTAATTCCCTTCTTCAAGTTCTCCACTGCCTTAACCGGGTATTCAACTCACACTCTTGATAAAGGCGTTAGTTTAGAGAGTGGAATTCACAGGAGTTAACTGATAACTGACATCCATTAATTCGGTAGGTGGCAATTTTAGCGGAATCCATTGGTTCGCTTTCGATTATATTTAACTTATTGTCAGGAAAAAAACTTTCCTATCTATTGCGTTAGTCAGATATCTCGTTATATATACTATTTACATTATTCGGACTATTGTCCTAATCTTTGTCGCCATATTTATTTCAACGCTCCGGCCTTCTTCACGTGGTTGGGATGTTGAACTAAACCCTTTATTTCGCTCACTGAGGTAGACTGTTCTAGCGCTACGTGTTGACGACCTCGAACCTGAATCAAAGATTCAAAGCAAACAGTGAAAATACTCTGATTCTCCACCCGAAGAAGCCCAAGAAGGCAGCGTCTGCTGGAAAGGTGATGGTTATTCTAAAGGTGTAATAATGATAGACAAACTGTAAAAGGGAAAACTATTAATGGATAATACTATTCATTAAAATTATGACAACTGCCGGAAGTAATCAAGTCGAAACGCAGAGTGAAGCTGAGGGCAGGTGTGCTCTTACTCCAGAATGACGCGCCCGTTCTCACTGTTTAGGTTACAGTAGGTGAATCAGTCAACTGTGGCTTTGAATTGCTACCCCATCACTCTTACTCACCAGAGTAGTTCCATTTGACTTCTTCCTGTTTCCTAAACACAAGTACCATTCTTGAAACAATGGCGTGATCATATCTGCTGTTGAGGAATTTCTGGAGGACCATGGTGTCACCTTCGTCCGTGATGGGATTGCAATGCTTAAGCATCGTTGGTCCAAGTGTGTTGATGCCAAGGGAGACTATACTGAAAAACAATGAAAAACTGTCTTGTTTCTCCAACAGATTCTGTGTGAAGCTGAGGACATTTTTTAACAACTCGTATGTATTTTCCAATGCCTAGTGAGAATTACATTGTTCTTCTATTGCTTAGGACACAAGATATAAATGAAATAAATTATATATATATATATATATATATATATATATATATATATATATATCATTGCTTTATATATGGTGAATATTATACAGCGATTAACCTATCTTTCCGCTGTAATTTTACAATAGATGTTTCCATTTAACGCTAATAAATTCAATAAACAATCTAGATTTGTCTAATTTGACTGCAACTTCCTGTTACGAAGTGAAGACCGTGAACAAAAATGTCTGTTTTTTAAACCATTTAATCCAAAATTATCGAAATAAAGCTGAAACGAAACGAAATAAATTTAAAGCAATGTATTAAACACCAGATATCTGTAATATAATTTCTGTTTTATGATGAGGCATGTTAGGTGCTGTAATGCCTTGATTTACCATAACAACGAGATATCTTAATGAAACTAAATTGCGTGGCCGATAATTGTTTTATATTGCGTTTTGTAAAACTTTGGGTTTTAATTTTTAAAATATTGACACAGTCAGTTCAAATTAATCGACTTTTGTCTTTTTTATCACATTTTTCAGAATGAAGAAAAATAATCGAGACGGTGTGCTTGAATTCTGATATTTGTGTTTCGCTTGATGCACACCGGATCACTGCCACTGTAGTCGTGATCAAGGATCGGATGAACAACATGACACTCTCGCCCGAATGCAAAGATCAATGATACAACGCAAAACTAGTAACCACAACATGAACTTGTCCGCTGATAAAAAAAAAAAATATACTCAGGAACTACGTAAATACATATTACTCACAGTGTAAAAACAAATATATATATATATATATATATATATATATATATATATATATATATATACACACAAATGTAATGAGAATGAAAAGAATATAAATTCAAACGTTCATAACATTAATTTAAAAGAGGGCTCAATACTAAACTATTTCAAGTTATTATTATCGCTTGTGTCGACTGCTAACAAAGGAAATTGAAATCTATAAAAGGCAGAGTAATAAAAGATTTATTATAACAAGCAACAGTTGCAGTCGAACTGATAACAGGACAAAAAAACTCAAGCGCATAGAGCAAGATAAGACATAAAAAGACAATCAACTGCTTTAATATTTTAAACAAGAGTCATAAAGAACTGACATCGAGAAGGATAAGAAGCGAAGTGAGATTTATCCATACAAACCAATATGGCACAAAGCAGAATAATGTCAAATTGAGACATAAAAATCTGTATTTGCAGTGTTGACTGGGTAAGAATGGAGAACAGTAAAGCCTACTGAGATTTATCCATACAAAACAATGACATATGGCACAAAGCAGAATAATGTCAAGGTGTGACAAAGAAAAATTATAATTCTAGCCTTGACTGGTTAGAAAAGCAGATTCAATGGGAATTGTGCAAAATACTGAAGTTTGAACATAGAAACCAACGGTATGTGGTACAAAGTTGAATAATATCATAATGGAACACTACAAATGAGAATTGTAGTCTACATAAAGACAGGGCTGGAAGGGTGGGACATGAAAGTTAGGTCCTGTCTATGTAAGTGGTGCACTTGGAATCGTGACAAAATGATTGGAAACTAGAGTTAATGAATTTCATATTCAAATTAACTCTACGTGATACAATGGTTGCAGTGTGTAAGAGAAAAAGGTACTGGAGATTTGATGAAAATGGCAGCCATCCCATCTTCGGTGTCCATATTATTGTTATTATCATAGAGTTGCTCAAAATAATAATAGTAATAATGAGAAACGTACCGAAATATCAAGAAAACATGCTGTCAATTGACCTTCAGTGAAAACCACCAAATGCTACTGGCGTGAAAAGTTAACGAGTTGAAATAATCATTACAGATTAATCTTTAAGTGACTGCCCAAATTTCGCGAAAATCGCTAGAGAAAGCTACTGTCTTTTAAAAGAGACTACTGTCACTTGATCTTCACTTAAAATAACCAGATATTCGATATGCATGAACAAATATAATTGAACACATTATGAGGAGATTAGAGATAATGTGCCTCGTGACTCTCTGTCCAGTAATCTGTCAGTATTAAGTCCTGTCAGGATTTTGGTACCCTGTCAAATGATTGACCCGTATCAACAAATTTCGTGATAAGGTATCTTGTGTACGGTGAGATCTGAAAGTTGAGAGAGAGAGAGAAGGGTCAGTTTTCTGTTGTTGATACATTCGTACTCAAATCTTAGCAGTTCGTTTTTAATGTAAGAAACATAATCCACTGTTCAGTGGAATGCCTCTGTTCAACTGATTTTCTTTTTTAATACTTTTGCCTCATAACTGTTGTTATAATATTGCATATTTTCGTTTTGATCATTCGCAATATATATATATATATATATTAAAGGTTATATTTTTAAAGTAATGTGATGGAGACTAAGGAGAAAAAGAAAAATGTGCCTAGAAACAGCGAAAATACTGCTGAACCGCTATATAGAAGGCTAGCATCAGCCATGCCTATAGAAGGCAAAAAACAAAGAATGCTGAGAATACCATGAATTGAATGTGTGCGCAACGAGGAAGTTTTAAGAAGAATAAGAACGTGTAAATGTTTACTTGCAGCTAGAAATATTGAACATGTGTTTATATATTCAGGCAAATAGTATCAAACACGGGTGGAGATTTAAGGGAAAATCCACATGTCAAATGGTACTCAAAGTCTGAGAAAATTCGGTATGTGGAAAAAGATAATCTTCGACATGAAATTTGGCTACCAAACAGTATTAACTGATGCAGTTTTACATATCAAAACAATGCAAATTAAATTAAAAATTATAATTACGGAAAAAAAAAGAGATAAAATACCTTCAAAATGAATGGTTTCAATGAAATAATAAACTGTTATTTTTATTGAATATATATTTTTTATTCTGTTTTTATTTTTAAAAAATACAACAACCCTTCAGGGACAAATTTC